AAGTGTGAGGAGAGTTAAAAGACAGGAAGGCATAGGTTGTGAAGAACTTTAATTGCATTAGTGGCCACCCTGAATGACTTTGTAGTGGTCCTAGTCAGCATAGTCTGATGACCTCCTTTAGTATCACATTGTAGTTTACCTATTAGGGTGCTAAAGAGTGGTGGGGGTAGGAGGGGGTAATGAAATCAGAACAGGATAGGATTAAATTATGGAGGATTATTGCGTGAAGTGGGGAAGAGAAAAAGAATGTACGCAGGAAGGTAAAATTTTTGAAGAACAGTGAAATTATAGATTACAATCTATATATATGGAGATTGAAAAAAGGCTGGTAGATGAAAGCAACCAGCATCCAGTCAAGGTGATATGACTGGAAAAAATACCATTTAAAAGAGTTTGCCAAGTGACACTAAGACACACTAAGTCTACAAGTGGTATGAACTCAGAATGTCTATTTTTAAATGTTTTCCTGTACAAATGTCTGAGCATAATTTCGTTATGGAAATGAAAAGAAAAAAGAATCACACATAGGCATGACTTATTTAGGCTTCAACAAGTATGTTCAGTTTTATGAAAAGAGTAAACTTAAAATAGATTTGGAATGATTATGTAATAAAATTATTATTTATTTATAAAATTCATTTTCAGCAGAAACTATGTCACTCTCAGGAATTCTTTAAATAGCATTCTCCTCTGATTCATTTAGTTATGATTAAATTCACATGAAATTAATTTACTAATCCATGTGTTGGGTAAAAGTATACTTGTATATACAAATATCATAAATGTAACATAAACAATATATTGTTCAATAAGTAGATACTTATTCAACAATAAACAACATTTTGGCATTTTGAGCATGAATATGCTTTGAGAGGATGGCCTTTTCATCAAGAATAGACATAAAATCTGATTTCATGGATGAGATTCAGTGGGGAAAGTGAGACATGAGGCTCCATCTTTGTTTTTTTAGTAGTAATACTTTGATAGCACTAGAGCATTTTCCTTTCTTTCCCTTTATCTGCTTTTCTACTTTTCTCTTATTTTGAAAAGTGAAATTGGCAAGTATATAAAGTGTATTCACAACAAGCAAAAAAGCAAATGACCCTTTTCTAACTTCTGTGAAAACATTCTGTCGTTGTAATACCTAGAAGGGGACCAGCATCACGCTGTCAAAAGTTAGAGCTGTTCAACTGAAATGCTTATAATTTTGTATCCCTAGAAAATGTATGCCCTCTACTCATCTCTACTTTTATACACGACTTTTCTGTGAAGCACATTAAGCAGAGATTACTTCTACTTTAAGAGCACATAGATAGCCCTGCCATAAATTTAAATTGGGACCTCTGGAGTTTACTAAAGAGAAATTTGATGTCTTTCCAAATTAAATGTTGACAAAGTATATATTTACATTTTCCTTCCACAATTGTATTTCAAGTATTATTTCCCATTAGTCATCAAGAACTTGATTTAGCAAGTTGTGGTAGTTATAGGATAAGAAGTCTATAGAAACATCTGGTGCTATTACATGCAAAGTACCACTACAATGGAAATATTTTCCCTCTGATGTCATGTAGCAAAGAAAATACAATTTTGCATACTATATCATATATTTTTAATCTTTTCTTTCTCCCTGCATTGCAGTGGAATTTTAGTAAACACATGTCATTCCCATTTATAAAGTTTATTTCACTTGATCTACTCCTAGACTGCAGAGATGTTTTGGTGTGCATTGAGAACCTACAATAATCTGTGTTGTACAGAATGTGCAGAAGTCCATGCTTCCCAATTGTTGCTGTGCTAACAAAAATACCAAATTATTGTTCTCTATTCTCTACAGCATAGGAATGCTTTACATCTTAGAAAAAAACCTAATCTGCCCTTTTAAACTGTAGAAATTGTGACAAAACCTGAGCATAGGGGATGAATGATATTGGAAGGGATGTGATACAGCCTGTCTTTGGATACTAGCAACCATTAACAGATGGCAAGGTGCATGCAACGACTGAATAAAGAACTCCTACTATTTTTTCCACTGCAAGCCTAAATTTCATAGTACTTCTACAAGAGAAGCTGAAGACTACTATTTATTTGGCAACCTGTGGCAAGTTAAATCAGTGATAAAGTTCCAATCTGTGATGTCGCAAGATCCCCTTGTGATCTAGAATACACGTTACGGGGACCTCTTAAATGAACAGAATGGATTAGTGACCACCCCACCTCCACCCTCAATTTCTCTTTTCCTTTTAAAAAGATCATAAAATGGCCTGTAGTAGGAATTTAGGCCAAAGTTTCCAGACTACTCATTTGGTGTGATAGTGATTGTTCACATCTTGTGAAGTAGGATTGTTTTCTTGAACTGTCTCTTTTGCAGAAAGGTTGGAATCTTATTTTAAGATGTCCAGGGTTTGTTAAGATACCTAACCTAACACAAAGGGAGACTTGGAAATTATCTGCTTTTATTTGGATATTAAGAACAACCCAGGTGAGTCAAGTCTCAAAAGTGGATGGTTTTTGAAGGAGAATTATTTGAGTTGAGAATCGATAGTCTAGGAGAGGTAGTGTGGTCCAAAGGATAATGTGCAAGGCTTGGTTTCAAAACCCTTCTCTGACACATACAAGCTGTGTAACTTTGGGAAAAAGCACTTAATTCCAGGCATCTTCCTAGGATTTATCTACTAAGTCAGTTGACAGGTTGAGCTAGGTGGAGAAAATTGTCACACCTGGAGTATTACAGATCCTTCACATCTAGAATTTATAATGTGAAAAAACTGAATAATTACAAACAATTTCTCTGGGTTTTCATTGTCTAGAATGGGGAAAAATAACAGAGCAGGAATATGATTTAAGGGGAAAGGAAAGAAATTAGAATTTACATATTGCCTACTATATGCTAGGCACTCGGCTAAGTTCCTTACAAATATTATCTCATTTGATCCTAATATAAATATTAGCTCATTTGCACCTACCCTGCAAGGTAGGTGCTGTTATTGTCCCTATTTTACAGTTGAGGAAGTTGAGGCAAACAGAGATTAAATGACTTGTCCAGGATCATACAGTTTTCTCTCTCTCTCTCTCTCTCTCTCTCTCTCTCTCTCTCTCTCTCTCTCTCTCTCTCTCTCTCTCTCTCTCTCTCTCTGTCTCTCTCTCTCTCTCTCTCTCTCTCTCTCTCTCTGTCTCTCATTCTCTCTCCTCTCTCTCAACATTACTTCATTTACTTTCCCAGAAGACTATGTATGGAGAACCTCAGGTATGCTTCACTGAAAAAGAAGGCCATGAAGGTGGCTGCTGAATGATCTCTTGATCCTTGGACAAAACTGAGGGAAAAGTCTAACAAATGCATCGTTTTGCAGTAAATTAGATCAGATTTCCACATCTCTGCACTCAGCCTGTGAGCTGACAGTTCAGTAAAATGTTCCCTTGTAAGGTTCGCCCTCTTAGGAAAAGGGGCAATAATTTATCATTAGGATTTCAGACTCCAGGTGTAGATGAGAAGTGATGGAGCCTCCAGCGAGGCAGGGAGAGTGTGCCGAAGAAGAAAATTTTATCTGAAGCCTGATTCCCTAGTTACAGCAGAGAATAATTAAGATAATATTGCTTCAAGAGGCCTTTAATGATTAAAAATCACATATGCAGAATCCATAAATTGGAGGGCAACAAATTGGAAGGCTAAGAACGTCAGAGATCTGTTTTGTGCACAATGTACTAGAAAGTACACTCGTGGCAGAACAGCACAGGCAGTCACCAGAGACTAGGCCCATTCCAAGGACTTTGTTTAGATGCAACAAATCATTTGTCTGTTATTAACCCAGAGCTTGTAATTATGCAGATTGCCATAGATTTTCCTGGGCCTGGAAGTGAGATTGAGGGTTGTTCACACTATAGCAGGCAGCTCAGGGCTGGCCATGCATTACTGAACTTGCCACATTTATCATGTTGACTGATGGCAGCAGAAGCAGGTCTCAGGTCCCAGTGGTTAATGTAGTGGGTAATTAACTGTCATTTGCCTAGTAATAGGCTGATGATCAATGGTTTGTGTGGAAACAAATTCTAATCAGGTAGCTGATAAATGCTCAGCTAGCAAGAGCAATTGAAATTGGGGGAAACTATGTCCAGAATTTCAAAATGGCATTATGTGCATTAGTGGAAAACTAAATAAAAATTGCATTATCCAATATTAACCATAGTTGATAGTCATATGTACATAGAGTGGTATGAAGAATTTTAAAGGTTTTCTTATCTTGTATTCACTTTTTAAAACAAATGAAGTTCTTAAGTACGCCATTCCTGAATAGACCATTAGGTAGCAGAAGAGCAAAGGGTCATATTGGCTTTACAGTAAATTTAAAATTCTGCTTATAGAAGTATGAAAGTCCTAATTTTTCTTGAGAATTAAAGAGTTACTGGTAGAAATTCTAGTTGAAAATAAGTAAAGTTTCATTTAAAAAGAAGTTTTACAAAGGCCAAATTCTTTCATGACATGAGGATTATAAAGCATTAGCAGTGCAGTGGTTGCTAATGATGTATTCCTGGAAGTAAACTGGAAGAAGAACTGTGTTTGGGGGAAAATATTTAAAACAAAAAATCAAAACAGTTATATCAAGCAATATAATAATTGCTTAGAATTTATTAAACACTCTTGCCCTATTAGGAACTAATTAAAATGTATTTGAACTTCTTACCTTCAAGGTGTTTATGTTAAAAAAAAAAAGTTGGGTACATTTATTTATGTACATGTGTAATAGACATTTTACCAAACGTCAAATTTGCAGCATCCAGTCTTACCATCCTTTCAAACAAATGTAATCAGTATGAAAGCAGATGTACTACTGATTTTAAATGTATGTATGTATGTATGCTTTTAAGGAAAGGCTGTGTCTTTATACATGGAGGGCACTTAGACTTAGAAGCACACCTGTGTAATCTTTAAATTCAATGAAATGAAAGGATGAGATTTCTTTAAATTGCATTTTTGTTACCAAACTGAATTCCCTCTGTTGTACCTTTTGAATGCATTAGTTTAGAACTGCTTTTAATTTCTTCCTTCCCCTGAGAGCCATTATATTTTTCTCTTCTCAGCCTGATACTGGAGAAAAAAAGAAACTGGCAGATGTGGTGTGTTCATCTAGCTTGCTTCCTAGGGAAAAAAAAATAGCATTAACTACAATACACAGACTGTTACTCTGTGCATTTTTACAGTTATTAAGTACTTTAAATAAACTTGGCTTCAAATATTGCCAAAAACAAGTAGGGTAAATCATTGTTCTTTGTTTCCTCCTGTTATGAGACTAGATGGGCATTTACTTATGTACTATTTTTCAGGCTATTATAGAATCTATTTGCAGAAATCTAGAGCAAATAGGTCCTTTTCTTTTTTAAAGCGTGTGTGTTTTTGTACCAGACATTTCAAATGATTCTTACAGTATATTATGCTTCAACTCCTGGTCTAGCTACATATAGTTTACAGCCTCATTTACTTTAATGTGCTACCTGAATAACATAATCATAGCTATAACTATGGTATAGGGCTGTAAGGTGCATGAACCACTAATGCTTTCTATTTAGATGACTTGTTCATAAAGTGTTCTTTTAAATAATGCTATAGCTATTATTAACTAGATGTCAAAAATCCAAAGAATGCTGTATCTTTTAAGGATGGCTTTTTTCTCTTCCACCTAAAATGTTTTACATTTGGCATTAACACCAAAGTTACACGGATCTTATATTCATGGTGCAATCCAGGAACAAGATTCTTGCCATGTATTCAGATTGGTTGCATATGGTTACGTAACCTTACTTTGCTGACTCCTTTTCTTGAACAAGAGGACTTTTTCTTTTAAAAGAAATGATAATATCTAGGACAAAAAGTTTATATCTAATACATAAAAATCACTTGCCTATATACATGAGGTATAGTAGTACTCAGTTTTGATTCCTTTTGTAAGGTCTATAGAATTATTTCATCTATAATTTCAAATTCCCTTATAATCATTTGTTTTTGTAAAAAAATACATATATATATTCTTTTAGGTTATTTGGTGTAACGGGAAATTGTGCTGCTTGCAGTAAGCTCATTCCTGCTTTTGAGATGGTGATGAGAGCCAAGGACAATGTTTACCACCTGGACTGCTTTGCATGTCAGCTTTGTAATCAAAGGTAAGAGAATTTTATTTGGGCTCCCAAAAGCAGTAGAACAGTTTTGTTCTTGTTGTTATTTTTAAGACCAGAAAATTTTTTACTACTCTGAACTTAAAGGAAATATCTGAGTGTGTCTGTGTGCAATCAACATTCATTTAGTCTCAGGAATACCCAATTGAAATACAAGAAAAATTACTATGTAATTTTTCCCTGTATTAAATACATTATTATAGTACATATATTTGCAAGAAATTAATAAATTGTTTTCATCCCAGTCCTTTTGTTATTCCTTTCCTTTAAAAAAAAATGTCATCAGTACCTCAATAGCTTAAAGAATAATGTCCTCATCTGTAAAATGGGAATAATAATAGAACATATTTCTTTGGGTTGTCATGAGGATAAAATGAGATAATATTTGTTAGGTGCTTTTCAAATCTGAAAGCATTATGTAAATGCTAGCTATCATTATTATCTTGCTGGTGTGGTACTTCTTCAGTGTTAAGAGTGACCCTTCCCAGCCCTTTGACATTGTGTGATTTTTGTCTGCCTCTTTACAGAAATTATTCATAGTGGATTCCAACCAACTTCCTCCAGGCTTTGCTTGAGTTCTAAAATAAATTGCCAACAAAAGTTTTAGGGAAAGCAAAAATTACTTTCAGTAACTTAGTGTTTAAGTAAATAACATTGGAAACATAAGTTTTCTTTTATTGTAAAATATGGAAATGGTACCTGAAGGAGTTTACATTCTAATGAAGACAATATGAATGTGTGTGTGTGTGTAAACGTGTAAACGTGTGCCTGTGTGCCCTCACCTGCATTCATGTGCAAAGGGTACAGGGGAATCTTGAGGGAAATAGAGACCAAGAAGAGTCTTGTGAAGAACTTATGTCAAGAAAAAAGTGTTTCCTATAGATGATTATCTAATATGAAACTGCTGTTTTAGCAAGGAATCTTAAAGTGTAGTATAATGTTTCATATAATCCAGTTAAAAGAAGCTGTATTTTCATACTTTATTTGCTACAAGTTTTTTTGGTAAAGAACATTTATTAGACTTAATTAAAGGACACATATCATCTTTAGGTTCTTCCTCCCAAATTTCATACACACACACACACACACACATATCCATGTATATGAAGAATTTCAGTAAGTAGTCACATATGCCATTAAAATACACATTAAAGCAAGACATCTTTTTCCTAAGGGATAATTGGAAGGGCTTATCTTCCTAGTCTTTAGAGTGGGTTTTTTAACACTAGATCCTTATATACTTATAACTATAGATTATAACCTAAACATTTTTGGCTGGGACCCAGAAAAAATTGTCAAATACATCTTATTTCCAAAAGGCATGTTATTCATAGACTTATAATAATTGCATTGATTTATTACTTTGGTCTACTGATCTAAGGGTTGAACATCCCTATTCTTGCCATATTTTGTACATAAAATTAAATCATCATACAAATATTAAACCCTGCTTAAACTGTATTATGATACAAAATAATTGCATGTTGTTAATGCTATTTACAAATCATTCATCAGTTTTATTCTACCATAGAAATAAAAAAAAATGCATTCACAATTAAGTCTCTCTCTCTCTAGTAGAACTCAGTCAAGTAAGACAAACACTCCTAAATTCTGACTGTAAAACTGTTCATATTCTTATTGCTGTAAAACACTAGTATCATTATGAAAGTACCTAATATATTTCTGTTGTCGCTTCATTTATTACATGCCATAAGGGGGCTGCATATCTTTAGTGTTGGTTATGCACAATTAGCACTTAGTTATTATCTTGTCACTTTAGTCCATACAAGACAAACTTCTTTAATGCAAGAAGTCAGCTAATCTTCATCAGTCAAGCAAAGTAGGCAATTTTTGTACCCTGAATGCAAAAGGTTTTCCATATAGGTGATGCTTTTTCCTAGAAGTTAGCTTGGAAAACCAATGTCTCCAATAAAACCATGATAATTCATGGTGCTCTACTTTGGGCAGCCAAATAATTGTAATCATTTGTGTCTTTTCAAGTGAAACACAAGGCAAATTGGCAGTGATAGATAACTTTCCCTATGAGAAATTTTTTTGTTGTTTCTGAAATGAGGTATCACGTGTATTAGGTAAAGTTATTTATCAGGTTTTTATTTCAAATATTTAATTTTAAATATAATTAAAATGAAAATCTCCAACCATTAAAATCAGGTCGTGCCTTTTGAGGCCTAATTGACCCATTCACAAAATTCTAACTTTCAAAAACCTCTATTTGCAAAACTGTTACTTCTAAATATAGAAATATGTTCCAGATTACCAAAGAAAGATGAATTAAAATCTTATCTATGTGTTGTTTCTTCAGGATGAATATGTATATAGATACAACTTCTTATATGCAAATATTTCTCTCCCTTAATGATAATATGTAGCATTTCCTAATTTTAAATGAGTCAAAGTGTAATACAATGATTTAAGTTAATATCCATTAATAATTTGGTCTTTTAACATTTATTAGGATTTGAGAAAAGTCCAATGTAATTGTATCTTTTAACACCTACCTCATATGTCAGGAATAATAGAGAATAAAAAAGAAACAGCCCATAAGGGGTTGACAGTTCACTTGGGAAAAGGAGACATCACACAGAAAAACTATACAAGACAGTATAGTCAGGAAGCAAAATAAGTGGCAGAATCAGTGCTATTAGAGAGATCATTGTGTACTAAGGTACATACTGACCATTGGGGTAGTCACAAGACTTAATGGAGGAGATAAAATTCCAAGTCGTAGAAGGTGGAATGCTCCTTAAGAGTAGGGACGACTTACTTATCCTGCACAATACCATAAACATAATGGGGCTTGATAAATGTTGAAAATTTAGATAGACAGCAAAGATGATGGAGGTTATTCCAGGCAAGTAGAAAAGAATGAATGAGACATGGTATGAATGGGACAGTGGGAGGAGTTTGTTCTAGGGACTCAAGGAAATAAAGCTGGAGAGTACCAGATTACAATGTGCTTTGAATGACAGGTTAAGCATTTTCACTATGATTTGAATGGCATTGTGCTTCTACTGTAGACCTCAAAGTCATGCCAGATAAACTTGATACAATGTAGTGAGGACTTAGCACTTATTATGTGCCAGGCACTGTGCTAAGTATTGGGATTGTAAATACAAAAATTCTTCTCCCTCCATGGTCCTCACATTCTCTTCAAACATTAAGCTTCTTGAAAAATGACTTTCAATAACATCCAGAATAGTTTAGGAGGTGTCTGGAGGTCATGAGGCCAATTAGTAAGCTGTATAGTAATCCATGTAAAATGAGATAGTCTTTATGAAGTACCTGGCACATGGTAGATGCTTAATAAATGCTTCACTCCCCCCTTCTTCCACTGCCTTTGGTGATGAGGGCCAGACTAAGAAAGAGATGGCATGAAAATGCCAATAAATATTTTGCAAATATATTAACCATTTGTGCCTCACCTGTGGTCAAGCCTTCCGAGCTCCTATTGGTCTGATCAGCTGTGCACCTCGTCTCCGACATAGTGATGTCATTCTGGTCCTCTTTGAGCACGAAGGACAACAACTAACTTTGCAAATATAAAAATGTTAAAGAGATCTCTGAAATCAGCTTGGCAAATAAAGTGCCCAGTATGTTCAAAGCCCTGCTAAGCATAGGTGGAAGAAAGGTTAAATAAAATCTAGTCTCTTCCCTGCAGTTAATAATCAAGTAAAGCAAGTGATCACAATCTGAAAATGATATGTGGTGGCATTAAAATCCTTTCCAGTTGTCTGTTACCCCCAGTGTCTATCTGAAACAGAAATACAGACAGAGAAGAGAATTGGGTCCTACCTAACTGTTTTTAAAAGTGAAGGGTGGGACAGTTAAATTGCAATTGTCTGATTTAATTTGCCCTTACCCTATTAGGAAAGTTAAGAGCCGTAGCCTATTAATGACCCTTTGAGAGGGTGGTAATAATGGAAGTAAGTCCCTTTTCTTATTTTTTTCTATAGCTTTCTTTTTGCCCTTACCAAACATTATCATGCATTTAATGCAGAGGTGTTTGTTATTTATACGTTTTTAACCCATTCAGAAAGTTCTCAGTACTTTCATATGAATTCAGCTAAAAGCTAAGCTACCAAAACAACAACAAAAACCTGAGCTATACATTTTGTATACTTTTGTATTATTGGCATTGTAGGAAAAAAAAAGAGGTAAAATTATACTTTAGTCTATAAGTATTTTGGGTATGAAAATGGTAAACTTTTTATCTATTCCAAAGTTATCAGGGCAGGGATCTTTTCAATGGTTTGAATTTTCAGTAAAATTAATTTAAAATTATTTTACATAGAACTGTATTCTACTACTCTATATTTTCTAATTTATTCCAATATCTTATATTTTCAAGTGTGAGAGCAATAACATTGATGTAGTAAAACACTAGCTTCATAATTTTAACATTTATACATAAATTCCAATATTTAAACCAATCCTAGAATTTCAAAATTACTTTATAAGTTCATGTTTTCCCCTTTTTGAACTTTGTAGGCTTTCAGAGAGTATAAATATTATATATAAATATGCAATTTGCTGACCCCTTTTAGGGCCCAGAGACAAGGTTCTGGTTCTTAATAGCTGTGTAACCCTGGGCAAGTCACTTAATCTGACTGTGTTAGACTAGAACTTCCAAGATCCCTTTCCTCTCTAAATATGTGGTCCTATGATATCTATAACAAATATTTCAAAGCATGAGACAAAATGGTGAAGTTAAAAACACTGGACTTGGAATCAAAAGATACAGGTTGAGTCTCAGTTCATTTATTTTGAGCTTTAGGACCTAATTCTAAGGGAAGAGCCTGGTAAATCATAATGCTATGTAAATGTGAGGAACTGTTTACTGCTATGAAGACTTTAGTGCAATGATAAACATCAATATGTATTTGGAGAATAACACTTTCATAGTCTGTAAAGGGGGAAAAAGTATTTTTCAAAGATAAAAATAACAGTCTGACTAGCTATGGTTTTGATAGCTGATGTGTTTTCATTTATCTTAATATAAATTTGGTTATACTAAAGTGAATTTTGTAACACTTTAAGGTTAATTAGAGGGGATGAGAAGAGTATCTAGGATATTCATTTTAGTCTGGAAACAAACTCATAAAGCATAAAGAATAGTTTTAAAAGCTTTAGTTTTGACATAAGTATTGATTGTATTAAGTAATTAATATTCACTCCAGCAAAACATATTGTTGGTTTTGAATTATAGTATGTACATAGTATGCATTCTATTTTGTTCCATCTCTGGGAAATTTTTGTTTTGGATGGAAATGTAATAGATATTCTCCTAGCCAAACATTTTTATTTTTCTGTTTTTGAGTTTGCTTTTAGTTACCAGTATATAATCTAAGACCAAGATTCATTTATTAGAGTAACACTTCTTACATCATTTAAAATTATCATATAATTTACAACTAGTGAAGGTAAGAAAAAAGCTCGAAAGCAAACTGTTTAAAGTTCATTATATCAGCCTTGACCTCTAATAACGCCAGGATTTCAAGATCATTGCATAAGCTCTCCTTTCAATCGACAGCATCAGCAGGCAGCAATCCTAGAGGAGGGGGGAAAAATATACTCCATAAATAAACAGACCAATTTTCCTTTAAGAGGAAAAACTAATTCTTTTCATTCCACTTTTTTATTGTGCGATTCCCCCCTATCTACTTTAGCGTAAGGATAAATTTCCAAAACTACCCAGTTGGAAAATAAATGGGTTCATTGTTTGTCCAGCATTCCAATCTTTGCAAATGTAAATCAGTCCAACTGCTACTCATTGAAGCCTCCAACTTCACAAAACATTAAAGGGTAGCTTTCAATACACAATTTAATCTGACAATCCACTTAGATTTCTACTTGAACATCATTAGAAATTGACTGTCTGATAAAGAGAGGCCACTATCAAAGGTCAGTCAGGTCAACTTGTATAATTATATGTCTGTTATACTGGGTCAACTATAGCAGACACTACTGTTTGAAGGTTAAATTGTTACAATTAAATACATATATAAACCTTCCCTCCACCCCCCACATAGCTGCTGAGATGTGGTTAAATCAACTCTAAACACTATAAGCATTTATTTCTCACCCCAATGGTGAATAAAGTCTCATCATTTAGAAATTCTGCCACTACCCCCCCAACAAAAAGCCTCTATTAAGAATATTATTGTCTAAAATAGATTAAACATTGCTTTATGAAGTAAAATGCATAATTAGCTAATGAAAATGGTTTGCTTTATTCACACCAATGTTCCCTGTGTTAAACTCTTTTGTTTTAAGTTGAAATACTGTAAGAAATGCCACTGTAAATTTTTCGTTGTTGGTGAACTTGCCACAAACAAGGAATATTACCCTGCAGCATAATCTGTTAAAGGAACTTTCATACTACAAACCTACTTTTTTTCACTTATAAAATCATTAAAATTTAAATGTTTTAACAAATAGAAAGTGTTAAAAGAGGCTTAATTTTTGATTGGCCCAGTTATTTTAATATCATTTTTTTCCTTTTTACAATGTGGATAAATGGACAAAACAATATAAATGCTTTTATATTCTTTCTAGGAAAGCAATAAAGTTCTACTTGTTTTTCAAGTAAATAGTTTTTATATATGCTCACCCTAAATAAACCTGTTGTACTAATATGGGCCTGCTGCGCAGACAGCTTACCTCTAGGTAAGATTTCTCTTAAGATTGAAGATTAAAATTAGAAATAATCATGTAATGTTTCAGTAAAGTGCTAAATGGCCTCATTGTGATAAAGCATTGTCTAAGCCAAATTTCAGATTTATAGAATTATGTCATTGATATAGAACCATATTTTTAAACTGTGACTCTACAATGAAATGGCCGTAAATCTGTCAAAATGATTTTTTAAATATATTTTCAGATTTTGTGTCGGAGACAAATTTTTCTTAAAGAATAACATGATCCTTTGCCAGACGGACTATGAGGAGGGTTTGATGAAAGAAGGTTATGCACCCCAGGTTCGCTGATCTATCAACGTCACCCCACTAAGAATACAAAGCACTACATTCTTTTATCTTTTTTGCTCAAAATGTATATAAGAATTGACACAGGAACTTATTGGATAGCATAGATATAGAAAAACAGGATGATCGTGTGGAATAAAAGGAGGACTGCAACTGTATGTAGTGAAATTGCTCCCGTTCAGAGTTGAATGTTTATTATTAAAAAACAAAAGGTAATGTACATATCGTCAGATTCTCTTGCTTGCTCTTTGTTTTGTGTCATTTGGCATGAGATGTTTATTTTGGACTATTGTATATAATGTATTGTAATATTTGAAGCACAAATGTAATACAGTTTTATTGTGTTACCATTTGTGTTTGGTTTTGCTTCTTTGTATTGTTGCATTTAGTACAATCAGTGTTTAAACTTCTTGTATATTTATGCTTTCTGTATCTACCAGCTATTTTAAATGAGCTGTAACTTTCTATTCAAAACATTAAAGGGTAAATCCCAGTAAATGCTACACACATAGATAAAGCAAGTCTATCTATGTTAAATATTTAAGAAAACAAAAGTATTCTAGCAGCATCCACTACTACTGCCACTATGATGAAGGGTCTTGTCAGTGTTTTCCTTATAAGACCCCTATTTTCAGGGGCTTAAAGATCAGCTTTTGAAAAAATGCATAAAAGTTTCATCTAAAAGTAATTTTATTTTTTGTCCACTTGGAGAAAGTGGCATTTTTACAATGTATCTTTAAATCATGAAAATACTTATTAATGATTTTGGATTCTTGTGCTCAACCCTCTTAATATGTTTCATGATTTTTGCCAGCCTTTAGTCCCCTTTACAAACTAGTGCCTTTGGTTGTCATGTATTTTTTCCCAAAGGATTAATTTAGAAAAATGTTACTACCACAGTGTAGTAACTTAGAAAAATATCAAAGTTCTTGTAAAAACTTAAAGTAACACGTTACCCTTGATTTTTACACACAATCTGAGGTCTTTTAAAAAATATTTAGAATTGCACATAAATTTGCTGAAGTCTTATTTCTATACAGCGAAGCCATGGCATCCTCTCAGCAGTGTTACTTATGTCTCAGAACTGGATAATGTCTATTAAGACCAATTGAAAGAAGAGAAACAAAGATTGGATAAAACACTATAAAACTGGTTATATTTTATTCTGCATTCTACCATCCTTTTAACATTCCAAACAGATCACTTTTAAACTTGTTCCTCACCCTGCCGACTGTTTTTATTTAAATTTAAAGCAACTATTCACTCAAAATTCATCACAGAGACACTGGAAATCTGTCATTCCTTTTTTTTTTTAAGGAGTGAAATATTGTTTCTAGGCTTACCTCATAGTTTGCAAGTAAACAGGTTTATAGAAGACAGAACAATTATGGAAGATGTGAAGACATGATCTCCTCTTGGGTGGGATTCATTCCATTCAGTCACTAAAGCTGTTCTCACACAGGCACAATGAAGCATATAATTTGCGAAAGCAAATGTGGTGCTATTAACATTTTGTTTTTGTTTTGCTGTGCCTATAGAGTGAATTTAGGTTTTACAAAGATGTTTAATCCTACAAATATACAAAGAATGGAAGTTAAGGGTAATGAATGCATCTTATATCTGTTTTGTTTTGCTTTGTTTTGGTCAAAAGTATATTTTCAGACTGCTAGTCTGGATGTGAGGTGTTTGAGAACTTGAATTTAAAGCAAAGCTTCATAATCAGTGTGCATTTAAATCTGGAGGAAATATACACATGTACACATTTTCTCAATACTTGCCAAAGGTTATTTTAAAGAGAAGTTAATACTTTGGAAAATGAAGATAAGCGTTTTAATCATATTTCATAGTAAATAGTTATGCATTGAATATCACAAAAGTGTAATTAGTACAGAGACTAAAATTCCAGGTGAAAGTTACTTACTCTATGAAGAGAGAGACTTTTCTGGAAAGAAGGGAAGAAGTGGCTTTCATAATATTGCCATGTTATTCTTGTTGGAGAGTTATTTGAGGTAACATTAAATCTAATATTGACTTTCACAATGTAAATTATTTTACATATTGTTAATATATCAAAATACCTAAGGTAAATTGTGAGCAAGCTTCATCTTGTTGTAGAAGACATTCCTGTAACAGATGGATCGTTGGACTAGATTGGCCTCTCAGGTCTCTTCTGATTCTTTCATCTAATTTTAGGTACTCACTGCCAAAAGGCCAAACTTATTTCTCCTTTTTACTTCTTTTCTAGTACTTCAAAATTCTTATACTTATGAGGAAAATAGATGAACTGAATTATTTATTATACCCTCAATATGAATAAATTAAGATCTTAATCTTAGAAACTTAATTTCAGAGAATTTACACATCGACTCCTTAGGTCAGCATCCACCTTTCACCTTTAATGGTGACTTTTTTTTAAACCTTGTCCAACCAGGTTGTCTACGGTACACTATTCAGATTCACTGGATTGTGGCAAGTTTCCTCTTTACTTTGTCTTATGTAGATTTCACATTACACTTCATTTTCCAATCCTCCAGTACTAGAATCCACTTAGTTTTGTTTTGTTTTTTAAAGAAAAGACAGTTCCATTCACAACATATTTCTTATAAAATCTTTATGTTGAAGGATCAGGGAAGCTCCACGTCTCAAGAACACTGACCAAGTTATAAGCTAAAATGTTTGTAATTTTACTTTCATTTTGCTTAATAAATATCTTCTGATCTCTTTCATCCATTTTTATACTTGGATTTATGCTTTTAATAAAAAGGTTATAACACTGCTTCAATTGCATTTAATTGTCAGAAGGTTAGGTGATCTATAGAAAGCTTAAACTAAGCCTATGGAAGAGGAGGAAGATGCTTAAATGCACTGACATACTTGTGGTTATGGGTTAGTCTGAAGAGATAAAGTTTTCCCACAATATTGTATTTAGTATCTCAGGAATAGGTGGATTTATATAGTAGAGGAAAATTGTCAAAATTGAACATAACTGGCAAAATTTTATACATCTAACTGTAACCAATCCATTTTGAAATTATCATTTGAAATTATTATTAATTAGTTTATTCTCAGGATAAGATTATCCATTTTATCTAATAAATTTAGAAAAAAATCCCACTAAATTCTAGGGTGTGGATTTCCCCCCTAAATAAGTTATTGCTTAAATGAAGCAAAGCATCCACGAGTAAAATTACAATTCTGGTGGTGGTGGTTGTTTTTGGAGTGCGGGGGAATTAGAAGTGTGTGAATATTAACTAGTTCGAGAAATTATATGTACACCAAACCTATTTAGTGTTCACTTAAGTAAATTTCAATACAATCTGTGATTTTATTTTAATAGACTATAAACAAAGCAGTAACTAGGAATTTTTTCACATGTGGAAAGAGGTAGAAAATGCATTCTCAGTTGGGGAAGGGATGTGGGGTGATATCAGTGGGGGGGGGAAGAGGTACTTCATCTAGTTCCAGTCCAATAAGAATTTTAAAAATACCTACTATGCGCAAGGCATTGGAGATACAAAGATAAATGAGATAGTCCTTTTCCTCCAGGAGTTTCTGGGGGGGGGGAGGCGGTACGGGGAAGGGGAGATACAACATGTAAATAGGTAAGCATATACATGAACATTCGAAGGAAATAAGTAGAGGGATCAGAAAAGGTTTACTGTAGGAAACGATCCATGAGCCATTTGCAATGAAAGATTCTAAAAGGTGGAGATAAGAGGAGAATGGGCACTTCAGGCATAGGAACAGTCTATGCCAAGACCCAGGATCAAGATATGGAATGGCCAATTTATGAGACAGCAAGTTGGTTACGTTGGCTGGCGCATAGAGGGAAGGAGAGAGACATAAAAGTCATCTTCAAAGATAGATGGGACTCAGGTTGTGGAAGTTTTAAAATACCAAGATGATTTGTATTTTTATTCTAAAGGCCATAGGAGCCACGGGATGTTACTGAGTAATTAGGTGGCTCTTAAGCTTTGCAAAGATTGTTTTTGGTTTTGTGGTAAGGATGACATCATATGGGGAAAGGCACAGAACTGGAAATCCAATTAGCTTTTCCAGTAGGCTTGAGAAGAACTGATGAGGCTCTAAATTGGTAGAGAGATAATTGTGAGTGTAGAGAGGTGGTTGATGTGAGAGTTGTGAAAGCAGGAGCAAAAATACTTTGCAATAATTTGGTTCTAAGTGTTCAGAGAGAGGGAAATGTCAAGGACAATGCTGAAGTGGCAAACACGGGTGGGCTGAAGAATTGTAGTGTCCTCAACAGAAACAGGCAAGTTTAGAGGAAAGGTGGTCTTATGGAATGATAAGTACTATTTTAAGTAGGTTGTGTCTGAGACATCTCTGGGACAGTCATTTGAAGACATCTGATAGAAGGCTGGTATTTAGGGGTGGATGTATAGAATCATAAATTTCAATCTGAAGAGATCTTAGAAGTCATCTATAATACTTCAGTACCCTCATTTTTAGAAAAAGATAAAACTGAGGCCCAGATAGTTTGACTAGCTCAAGCCCACACAGGTAGTGTCAGAGGTATGGGAATCCTCTTAAAAGAGATGCAATACTAAGAATGTAAAAAAAAAAAGTGTGAGACCAGAAGAATCTAGGGTACTTTTTCTTATATCCTGTACATGATAATTCATATCCTGCCTATGGTCTCATGCAGAAACCCAGTGCACCCCATCTATACCTCCATCTCTTAGAATTCCTTGTGATGATTTATCCCTTTAAGACTTAGCTCCTACATGAGGCTTTTTTATGATCCCCTAGCCTAGTTGCTAGTGCCTCATTGCTCATTGTATTTTTATACTGATTTATCTGTGTTCCTTTTGTTCATTTTCCCTCCTTCCATGACCCCAACCCCAGAATGTAAATTCTTTGAGCACAGGGGACTACTTCCCACATACTTTCAACATCACAACTTTCTCTATTGCAGTTTAGATACATTGGGGGTCCGCATTAGAAATTAAATGGGAATTTGGGGGTAGTTTTGTAGAAGCCACAGACACCATGCAAAGTCTAGCAGATGACAGGGTCTATGACCAAATACATAACCCACATTTTACAATAGGGTACTGTAAACACTCCATAAAAGAAAAAGAAAAATTTAGACTTCTCTGGTTTCTAAGGGAGGGCCAAAAATTTTACGTGGATTTTCCACACCTCAGGGGCCATGCTACTAAACCATGATGTGGAAGGAATACATGTATTTCATTTCTGTCTAACAAAGTGACGGATAGGAAACGTCAAATTGAGGAAACTCCTTTCTCCCCAAGCAGGTCATCATGGAGAGCACCATTATAGCTAGTAGTCTTAGAGAACTACTTAGAGCATTTTAGAGGCCAGTAGCTTGCCTAGAGTCACAAAAGCTAGTTTGTGTCTTCTCAAGACACAAGACGGAACTTTGCCAAGAGACACTCTATGCCGTGCTGCCTTGCACATATAAGTGTTCACATATTTTGGGGACAGGGCACGGATAATGATCCAGCAAAGGGACCTGGACTGATCAGACATCAAGGAAGAGAAAAAGGAGAGAATATCATCATGAAAACCAGAGATGATCAGTGGTGTCAAATGCTGCAGGGAGGTCAGGGAAGGATAAGCCCTCAGAAAAGGCTATTAGATTTAATAATATAGAAATCTTTGATCATCCATCCTCCACTACACTTCTATTTGTCTTCTTATCAACCCCCTAACACTATGTTCATTCATACCCACTCCTTTGCTTATATACTCAACTCGGATTACTGGCGTGTCATTTTTGTTTTTCTCCCATGTGTATAGAACAGGAATTTTAATACGGACCTTAGCTTCTGTTCCTCCAGGAAGCCTTCTCTGACCATTCCAATCCAATCAGCAAGCATTTATTGCATATTAAACTGTCCCAGTTTCTGGGGTGACAAGGACAAAATTGAATAGTCCTTGCCTTCCGATACTATATGTTTTCTTGGCGAAGATATGCATGTAAATAAGTATATAAAAAGGGTAAGTTAGAGAGAGAGAGAGAGAGAGAGCAAAGTGAAAGAGCATCAAGAAAGGTTTCATGTATATGTCACTTGAAGTAAGTTTAAGGAAATGAGGCATTCTAAGAGATGAAGGTGAAGTATCCTTAATTGTGTAATGTTTTCATGATTATTAATTGTATATGCTTCATTAGTGCAGAACACTTGCATTTCCTCAACCCTTCTAATATCTTTTATCTGACACATAATATCTGATGCATCGAAGAAGCCTTCAGATTCAACTTACAATGGAAAATTTTTTTAAAAAATAAATAAATTCAGGAGAGACTAATCTTCTAGAGTGCTCAGTTTGGAACTCAGATGGCAAGGGCTTGAGCACTGAGTCGCAAATACATAGATGTCTTTTTAGAGGAGTTGGGTTGGAAAAGGTGAGAGCAAGATAAATGCATATATGTGTGTATATGCTGATTGATATTGGTATGTACATACAGAAACAGAGAGACAAAGAATGACAGCACTTGAAAGGTTTCTAACTCACATGTCATCTCAACTCATCCTTAGTTTCAGTCCTGTAAGGTAGATGCTATTGTTACCTCCAATTTCCAGTTCAAGCATCTGGGTCTAAGAGAGGTAAAGAGACTCCCCTCCTCCTTCCTCCAACCCTTACACACCATATTTATTCTGCAAGTGAGTGGTCATCCTGACTCTAAGTCCATTATTTTATTGATCATGCCACACTGGATGATAGACAAAATGGCTTATGGGAGGGTGATAACACAGGGAAGACAGGACCACCAGTACTTCAAGCTTCTTCGGCAAACTAGGTTTGTTCCCTGACCTGCTTGCCCTCCAGAAAGCCAGTGGGGCCTCATCCAATGGGACCCTTTTAAAATGTCTCTATAGTTATGTATATTTTTCTCAAATCTTCTAGTAAGGAGTATATATTTAGCATGTCATGGATATAAAAGCCTAGGAAAATCTCAAGAAATCACCCTGGAGATGAAGAAGACATGGGTCATGCATCTTCTCTTTCTGGGCCCACTGTGCTCAAACATCTAAGCCAGAAGTAGGGCACACATATGGGAATGTCAGGCAGTACTTCTTGCACCTCTGGCTATGTATACAACTTTTTCTCACAAACACAGTAAGAAATGATTGTGGTGATAATAATGATGATGGGTGATTGAGGTGTTTTAAATAATAGTGATATTCTTTAAGGCAATGGAAAGAAAAGCATTACTCCATTATGCAACAGTTTGTGTGGCTTGGGGACAAGGGGGGAAGATACTTAAATGTCTTTGATACGTATTGATACCTTTTTAAAGTGCCTTTATATTGATGCACATTCTTTTCAAACCTCCCAGTAATGGGTATATATTTGCCATGTCTTGGTTATGAAGCTTAGGAAAATCTCAATTTATTCAGAGAATTTTCCCACAAATTATTCATTAACTCAATAGTCCATAATAGAAAAGATCAATGAAAAAAGTTTAGCCTTATTTTGATTACAATGTTGCTCTTACAAGTGGAGCTACTTCCTTTTCATCACCATTTGCAATTGGCTCATTATTGGGCTGAAAACAGTATCATATTTAACACATGACCATAGGTAATAATAGCTAGCTAGCTAATAATAACTAGAATTTAAATAATGCTTTAGCATTTGCAAAGCACTTTACATGTGTAATTCCATGTGATTTTGTGTGATTAGCTTCATAAATGAAAAATATGGAAAATCTGTTACATACAGGGGTTTATATAGTGTCAGAAGTAAAAGACAAGCCTCCCTGGACCCAAAGATTTTGCTACAACTTTC